AATTGCGCCGCTGTTCTGCGAGGCGAGAAGGAGTTTACCGCATTCGCTGGCTGCGTGTCCATCGCCGGTGAGTGAGGTGGAGCCTGCTCTAACTGCGTCTAGCAAGACCATAGAGCTCGTTGCAGTGTCACTCAGCAGGCAGTCTCTCGTATAGGAGGTGGGCGCAAGAGGCTCCCTGACGGTCCTAGCAGTAGCAACCAGCGTGGTCGTCCGGCTGCGGGTGGTGCCGAGAACCCCCTGCTCGTGGAGTAGGTGGGCCTGCCTTCGCCAGTTTCTTCTGAGTCGTCCGTTAGGTTGTCGTCCAGGTTAGGTGTGGGACAACCATGACTGTAGGGCCGTAGTGTTAGCGAGATGGGCGGCGGGCTCCCATGTGGGCTCGTCGTAGCCCACCCAATGAACAAGGTATTCTATTTGCCTGCGCCTTATTCTCTCGTCCGTGATGTCTCGTACTGTCCACTCTAAGTGTTCCTCATTGTTTTCGTTATCTTGTACGACTGTAGCAGTTGGGTTGGTGTCGTCCGTCTGCTGCGATAGGAATAAGTCGTTAGCCGCCGGACGGAGCTTATCTACATGGTAAGTCTTTGTTTCCCATAGCACGGCTAATTCCACCCAGTAAGGGTCTCGTACGCGAGCAACCTGGAACTTGGCGCTTTTCCAATCAAGTTTCTTACTACTTCTAGCCGTACGTACATCGCGTAAGTCTAGCCATACCCAGTCTCCTACGCGGTAGGTGGGCGCTGGTCTGCGGGACTTGTTAGCTTGTCGTTCTTGTTCTTGTTAGGCGTAGGTCATGGCAGATATAGCCCAGTTAGCAGCATCACTAATCGTCCAGACAATCTCCTTTGCAGCTTCTCCTACTTCGTCGGCTTGCGTGACCGTTTGGGGCTGGGGGAAAGGAGTGTTATGGTAACCATAGTGCAGGAAGAAAGGTAAAACTCCTATTGTCGTGTTCGTACGGGAGTTAAGCATAAGTTCTAAAAGGGGGCAGAGTTATGCCCAGTTGTCTTGATCGTAGTTGCAGAAGATCCGTACGACTGCTTCTATATCGCTATTAGCGCGCTCTATTATTCCGTCCGTCTGTGGGTGATAGGCTATTAAGAGATTTCTCTGGATACCAAGTAGCTGGCAGACCTGTTTCCAAAGAGAGCTGGCGAATTGGGGGCCGCGGTCGGACATAATAGACTGTAGAAGGCTATGATGCCGGTAGACTTCCCGTACGAAGGCCCAAGCGACGTCTGTTATCTCGATCTTGTCCATAGGGATTAGCACGATGCCTTTACCTAGTCTGTCCTTCACTACCATAAGATTGGTTTTCCCTTAAGAGCTAGGTAAACCCGTGATAAAGTCGACTGTTAGATGTTGCCACGTACGACTAGGAACGGGTAATGGTTTCAAGTACCCATGTTTCCCGTCCCTCCAGGGGGTGCTTTTCCGGCATAGCTCGCAATTCCGTACGTAACGGCGTACATCAGTGCTCATGTTTGGCCAATACCATTCTCTTGCGATAATTCTGTATGTTTCCTCTCGTCCAGAGTGTCCTGTTAGCAGAGACAGGTGCGCAGTTTAGATTACTCCTGTCCGAAGTGGTTCACATTCAGGTACCCATACTCTATTACGCCAGCACAACTTATCTTTAGCATTAATCGTACAGTCGCCTAAAGAGATAGCAATCTTACGAGAGCTTGGGAGAGATCGTTTTCCTTCCCGTACAGCCGCTCTTATTTCTTGGTATAGAGAATCTTCTTGCACGGCGCTATCCCAATAGGCTCGTACGAGCGTAGGAAAATGTGGTGGTCGCGGCAGTGTAGTCGACACTAGGGGAGAGACGTCTTCTTGAGTGTCGGTAGTGTCTTGTACAGGCATAACCGCAATACTTTCCTGGGTCTGGGCTGGCACTAGCATGATGAATTCTCTTGATGCTGAATGCTCGTCTAGGTCGTCCTTCTGCATATCTTGGTCTCGCCTAGATAAGGCGTCCGCCCGTACGTTCTTCTTGCTAGGGCGGTAGCGGAGTTTCATATTTGGGAAGCGGGCTAGTTCTAAGTTCTATCGTACGTGGCGTTCGGAGAGCTTTTGCTTGTGGGTGAAGTATTCTAGGTTCTTATGGTCCGTAACTACTTCGAATTCTCGTACGCCTCGTAATTCAGCGTCCCACTCTTTCAGGCAGCAGATCACCGCTAGTAGCTCCTTGTCGTGGATTGGGTAGTTCGCTTCATGCACTAGTAGCTTTCGGGAGAAGTAAGCTATCGTACGTAGGGTACCTTCGTCGTCTTCTTGCAGAAGTACAGCACCTATTGCTCGTCCAGATGAGTCACACTCTACTACTGTCCGTCTGTCTGGGTCAAAGGCAGCTAACACTTCGTCAGAGAGGAAAGCTTCCTTAAGAGCGGCAAAGCTCAGCTCTTGGTCTTGGCCCCATTCGAATTTGGCGTCTTTTCTTGTTAACCGTACGAGAGGTTCTACGAGTCTTGAAAAGTTAGGGATAAATCTGCGATAGAAATTGGCGAAACCCGAGGAACCCTCTCACGCCTCGTACGGTAGCTGGAGCTTCCCA